TGAGGGGTTGAGGGATCTAACTCTATAGTTCTTAGTTGTAACGCTAGTTACTAAACCCTAAACCGTCCCCTGAACATTTAAGTAGGCTTGGTTAATCCATGAATCGGTCTGGGGAGCTTCAGCACTGTTTCAAGAATTGCCAAACCTCTTGACGACTCCGCGTCCTGCGCCCGGAAGCCATGAAATGCATGGGCAGTCGGCACGCAGACTTTTCACCGCAAGAGCAGTGGCGAAAGACAGATGTTAAAATCAAGCAGCCGAAAAACCTTAAACCCCAAACCCTGAACCCTGAACCCTAAACCCTGAACTGGCAAACCATCAAAGCTCGCACATCCTCAACTGAGCCGGCGTCTTTGTATCCGGCAGCTTGCAAAGATCTCCCGAACCCCTCAACTTTAGGGTTGAGGGTTTAGAGTTTAGGGTTTAGAGTTTAGGTTTTAGGGTTTAGGGTTTAGGGGTTTAGGGCGGAACTCGCGAGGCCGCGTGGCAAAGAATGTCATAACTCTCCGAATCCGAGCTCTAACCCAGTCGCAGAGCCGTAAACTAAACCTCAGGACCTGGGGTTTAGGAAATGTAAGGTAATTAGGGTAATTGGGGTTTAGTAGGGTTTAGGGTTCAGGAAATTTAGGGTAATTAGGGTAATTGGGGGGTTCAGGAAATTTAGGTAATTAGGGTAATTGGGGTTTAGTAGGGTTTCGGATTCAGCCCGATTGGACCCAACAATAAGGTATTTCAGTTGCAAGTGAAATCTAAGAAAAACGTTCGGGAGAGTATATGATGATTAAGTGCTTGGACCATTAGGGTAGGGTTTAGGGAATTTAGGGTTTAGGGTAATTGGGGTTTAGTAGGGTTTGGGGTTTCTGAACCCTGAAGCCATATATAAACAACCCGTAGAAACCCGTTGAGTACTTTCAAAAACCTGTAGGTCAGCTAGCCAAGAGGAGCACTTACATCGTTTTGGCCTTATATACTTCGTCTACCTTTCAAAGACTGAAATTACCTGGGCCCGTTTCTTGAAGAAGAGAGTTAAGGACATTTTCAGGTGGGCAGTTACCGTTATAGGAGCCTTATAGAAGGTCTTTATACCTTATGGAAGCGTTTTAGAAGCCCTATATACCCTAAACTCCCCATCTGTAGTTTCCTCTAAGTTAAGGAAGCCTCAAGCCCAATCCCGCGGAAACTGATAGTCTTTGCCTGCAGGAAGTGTGCCGGCACCCAGACTGCGGGGAGGATCTGCGAGCTTTCCTGCTTAGGTTTAGGGGGTTAGGGTTTAGGGTTTAAGGGTTTAAGGGTTTAGGATTTAGGGGTTAAGGGGTTTAGGGTTTAGGGTTTAAGGAATTAGGATTTAGGGGTTAAGGGGTTTAGGATTTAGGGGTTTAGGGGTTTAGGGTTTAGGGTTTAAGGAATTAGGATTTAGGGGTTTAGGGGTTTAGGATTTAGGGGTTTAGGGGTTTAGGGTTTTGGGGTTTAGGGTTTAGGGGTGTAGGGGTTTTGGGTTAGGGCTGTTGGCTTTGGGGTCTAGGACTTTGGGATGAGGGATTCGTGTTTGGGGGTTAGTGCTTCGGATTTAGGGTTCAATGTGCAGGGTTTGAGGCCTAAGGTGTAGGAATTAGGCTTGTGGGTTTAGCGCTTCGGGTTTAGGGTTCAATGTTCAGGGTTTGAGGCCTAAGGTGTAGGAATTAGGCTTTGAGGTTTAAGGTAGAGGGTTTAAATTCAGGTTTCGGGATTAGAGTTTAGGTGCAGGAGTCTGGTTTCACATAGAACCCCAGTTCTGTCAATGAAGCAATGGGTGCCTTAAGTCATAACATGGAGCCCTCTTTACCATACGATGTATTCTTGCGCTTTTGGGTTTGTTTCTTTTTCGCCTATGTCGAACAGGCTGAGGCTTTTCACGGGCTTGACGACTCTACGCGAGGGTTTGTCCGGACAGCAAGGAATCATGGCCGCTTGAATTGGTCACCCCACACGTCTTCTCGGAAGGTGTCTGGCACTCTTGAACTGCTCAACTTTGTCAATGGGTGCGTAGGATATGATGGACAGTGGTAGGTGGTCTGATTGGTTGACAGCCTGAGAGGTTCTGGACCCCATGGTTTCTCGAGCTCTACTTGTAGGTCCGTATGATATTGGGGTCGAATAATTACCCAGACCCCCAAAAGGATCTAAAAAATAGATCCCCTAATTAGGGACCCTAACTACTAAAGGGTACCTTATAGGAACCTTCTTAGGGGATCTATTTTTTAGATCCTTTTTGGGGTCTGGGTAGTAATAGTTAGCAAACCCTGAAAATCCTCTCTACAGTTATGCGGAAACATATACCCAAGAAACCTATATTACTATATCCCTCATGTTTAAAGCCCTTACATTGTCCCCTGGAGCCATAAACCCTGGAACCCTAAACCCTAAAAACCCTAAACCCTAGAAATCCTGGAAACCCTAAAAACCCTAAAAACCCGAAACCCTAAACCCTAAAAACCCTAAAAACCCTAAACCCTAAGCCCTAAACCACAGCTTGTTCACCCAGCTGCCACATCCGCCTCCCAGGTGTCGATTGCGACGCCGATATCTGCATCCTCGGCACGTGGAGGCACCAGGGCCGGGCTCAAGGTAGGGGCCTAAGCCCTAAACCCTAAACCACCCTAAACCCTAAACCCTTTAGGGTTTAGGGTTTAGGGTTTAGGCCTTAAACCCTAAACCCTAAATAAATACTCCAGCCCTCCCTCTATGGCTCAGGGTCTTAGGGTCCTAGGGTCTGAGGGGCTTAGGGTCCTAGGGTCTGAGGGGCTTAGGGTCTTAGGGTCTTAGGGTCTCAGGGTCTCAGGGTCTGAGGCTTAGGGTCTTAGGGTTTAGGGTTTAGGGTTTGGGATTACCTACATTATTTTTTTTGGGTGGGTTCCCCATTATAATTACAGTATACTGGGCCCCAAAACCCTATTCCAATTATTGAGGCCCCTACACTAGGAGGGTTGAGGTTGTAGTTCAGGAAGAAAGCGGATGCTGTTAAGTCGTCATAGGCCCGAAGGCCCATGTACCCACATAGAATATACCTAGACCCCAAAGTATTTAAACAGGAACCACACTAAGGCAAAGGTATATACTGTATGAGTACGTGGACACTTAGGAATGTTTTTTTTGCAATTGCTGTTCATCAGGCAACCGGAAACAAGTACAGCCTCTGAAGTCGGCACATGTTTCAGGGTTTAGGGTTTTGAGTTTAAGCAATGTTTCGTTTTGTTGTTTTCATGTAGCGAAATCCAAAACCCTAAACCCTGAACCCCCAAATCCCTAAAGCATCGGGCACTCGCCCACAGATTTTCCTTTTGGTGTTGAGCAACAAGCGCGGATGATGTCTGACCATCCGACTTCGCAAGATCTTTTGATGCTCTTCGAATCTTTGCCTGGTGAAGCTCCTAGTCGGGGTCTCTGGCTCTGCCGGAGAGGATTCCAAGTCCTGGACTACCGGGGCTTATGCGCAAGGCTCTTTTCGTGGACTTCGGACCAATACTCATCTTTTCACTTATTGTACCGAGGTCATGTGTCGTTATCTTCGTCAGCAAGCTCCTCAACGGACCTTTGCTGCGCTTGCAACCTTCCAGAACCTTCAGTCGAAGCGACACCGGGATGTCAACAATGATGAGCGATTTTGCAACATCCTGGTGCCACTCACTCGGTTCCAGCACGGAGGTGTCTGGGTCGAGTGTGAGGAGGGCGATGTAGCTGCTCCAGACAATCCTTCGCTTAAAGGTGTCGTATTACCTGTGCAGCCTGGACCTCGTTTTGTGGATGCACAACAAGCACACGCCACCATGGCATGGCGCGGGAATCGCGTCCTCCTTGTGGGCTTCACGCCTAAGGGGGCTTGGGACAATGCTGCACGAGCCAAATCGCTGCTGGACTTAGGTTTCGTGCCTAAACCCTAAACCCTAGGGTTTTCCTTGCCCTCTGCTTTGCCTTGGCACCCTCGGAGTGCTGCCGACTCGTCGAGCCCTGAACCCTACAACCGAGAAGCTAGTATAGGGTGCTCCTTATTATAGGTCTAGTTTCATGGGCCCCAACACCTTACTCTAAACCCTAAACCTAAACCCT